CAGTTCCCCTTGTCTGCCTCGCTCACTGCGCTGGCCAGGAGGGCTTCGCTTGGTTTACGCCACGTGACACGTTTTCCGTCTCAGCATCTTGCGTGCTTAAGCAGCAGTTGGGAGTTAGCCCTGCTCGGCCCTCCAACGCTAACGAAAACGGGGAGGACCCCCATCCACCCACCAGGGCCCCGTGTGCAGGGATGGGGAGCCCCGACGCACTGCTGTCAGCCACCACCTGGGTTAGAAACGGCAAGGCCTGACTTGAGGCCTTCCCAGCTTCCAGGGGGGCGTGTCCTCATCCTGAGACCCCACAGCCAGGACTGCAACAGGCAGATATAAAGGCTGAATCCTCAGGGCCAGACAGGGCTCAGAGTTCCCACAGTTCCCCCCAGGGCCCCAGGTGCATGCACCAAGGAATCGCCCTGGTTGAGGACTCGGTGGCCCCCAAGTGCAAACCAAGCCAGCTGGGTCCACCCAGGGGCTCCTTGGATGGAGGATTCCAATCCCACTTCTCCCGGGGGCTGGTGGTTAAGGACTGGCTGCACCTCTTGGTGACTCCGGGTGACTCCGTTCCCTATCCCGGGGCCTATCCAGTCCTGGACTTGGCCTCTGTCTCCCCCAGGCAGTTCCCTTCCTCAGGCCCTGCTGCTGGCCCGTGATGGAACAGGGTCCTGGGTTACTTGGGGGGTCTGCCCACCTGAGCTGAAGCTCTGGCCGAGGCACTGATAAGGTTTTTCCCTAATCAGGGGCTGCAGCTTTCTAGACAAGTGGGCCACAGGCTCAGCCTGAGACCCTCTGGGTTTCTCTGGAATAAATGTGGGTGTCCCCCACCTGCCTGTACCCCACTCTACTGCCTGTCAAAATGGGGGCCCTTTGTGCTCAGAGCGGGGAGGTGACAGCCTCAGGAACAGCAGGCTCCTCGCACCCTGGGTCTGGCCCACTCTGACCCTCGGTCTCTTCTCCACACCCTCACCTCTGTCCAGCTCCATCTGGCTCCTCCTGAAGAACCCCACGTTCATCCTGCTGTGCCTGGCTGGGGCCACTGAGGCCACACTCATCACCGGCATGTCCACGTTTAGCCCCAAGTTCTTGGAGTCCCAGTTCAGCCTGAGTGCCTCGGAAGCTGCCACCTTGTTTGGTAAGAAAACTCTGGATCTTGGGGGTCCTCTGCTTTTGTGTCAGTTCTCAGAGAAGCGAAGAATCCTTGAGGGCATCTTCTAGGAAGACCCGGACAGGGTACCTGGCAGCGAGTGCCTCCCTCCCCCTACCAGCCAGAGCAGGTGTGGAGAGCGCCACGGGGGCTGAGCGACCCTGTCCACAGGCCTGGGGGATGGAGGTCCCACCCTCTTTGTGGGATATGCTTTCTAGGTGGAAGGGTCCGGGATAGGCGCCATCCACTCGCCACCCGGCCTTGGCTTCTGTGACTTGGTGCAGGAAGGGTTTGGACCTGGTGGTTCTGTGAGCGGGTGCTGGTGCCTCAGGACCTCCTGGGACAGTGCAGCTGGGGGTTTCTCGGTGCCAGAGGCAGGCTGGCCTTCTCAGGCTGGGCTGGTCTGCAGAAAGTGGGAACCCCTCCTCAGCTCCTCCTCCTGCCAGCATTCACAGGTACCCTGGGCCATGGCACGTGGGCCACCGCGGCCAATCTACCATGCTCTGCCCTTCCAGGGCCTATCGTCTAGATAAGAAAAGGGTGTCAGATGAGGGCTCCCCTCCCTTCCCCACAGGCCCCTTCAGGCCTGGCCCCTCCAGGCTGACCTCACAAGCCCATACTCCCGCACTCAGCAGACCCCCAGAGGTCAGCTGTACTGCCCCTTGGAGAACCTCCCCACCAGTCCCCCCAAACCTGTCCCCTCCTGTCCTTTCCCCTCCCCACTTGGCCCGGAAGAGGGGTGTCAGCTAATCCCAATTTTGTACTGATGGTGGCCACTCAGGCTTCGACAAATGTCCGTGTCACAGCCTGTGGGGACTCGGCAGAGGCCCCTGCGGCAGGAGGGGGTGTAGCTGCCCTGGGCGGGCACTGGAGGAGTCATCGGCTTCCCACTGGGATATGGGCTGCTGACCTTGGAGCATTCTGGGCTCTCCTCTTCCCCCAGCCCTGCCCATGCCCTGCGTCTTTCGGCCTCTGAGGCGTCCTCGCTGCGGGCCCTGGGCAGAGGTCCCTCCTGGGACTCCATCAGCAGCTGAGCGCTCAGGTGTGGGGTCGAGTGCTGTCATGCAGGCAGGAATTGATACCTCTGTGCCTCAGTTTCCCCACCTGTAAAGTGGACCCGGCTGATGTGCCGCCCTCTCCCACCACCGTCTCCTGCCTGAGTCCCTGGCTGAGTCCCTCCCTCTCCCCAGGGTACCTGGTGGTGCCAGCAGGCGGTGGCGGCACCTTCCTGGGTGGCTTCTTTGTGAACAAGCTCAGGCTCCGGGGCTCCGCGGTCATCAAGTTCTGCCTGTTCTGCACCATCGTCAGCCTGCTGGGCATCCTCGTCTTCTCCCTCCACTGCCCCGGTGTGCCCATGGCGGGCGTCACAGCCAGCTACAGCAGGAGGTGAGGGCCAGGTGGCACCTGGATTTGAGTCGGGGCCCTGAGCACCTGTGGTCCCTGGTTGGAGGAGGAAGGGTGCAACACTTGGGGGAGGTGGTTTTTGGAAAGGTCTACGTCGCAGGACAGCAGCAAGGGCAACACTCGTTCAGCAGGGTGCCCGGCAGCATCCACGTGAAAGTGTGCCATGCCAGCCGTCAGAAGCATCTGCGCTCAGGTCCCGGCTGTGCCCCTGGGCAGTCATATGCGTCTCTGGGCCTCAGCCCTCTGCTCTGTCAAATGGAACAGCAGCCCCAGTGTTCGGGGTCCTCGAGGCTGGTCTCTGTCAGTGATGTAGTGTCCCAGGATGTGCTCCCAGCGTTGCCGTGTGCTGGAAGTGGGAGGGGGACCTGCTGGTCAGGTGGCAATTAGGGAATATCCAAAATACATGCAGGTAGCCTGCACCTCGGCGCTGCCCTGCGGGCCCCGGGAGTGCACCTACAGACGCCGTGCAAGACCGAGAAGCACAAAGTGGCCGTTGTGGCATTATCGGAAACAACCTAAGAGTCATCAGGGTGGACGGAGTTACTATGCTGTCCTCACAATAGAGGCCCTGCCCACAGAGGAATGGAGGAAGCTCATCCTGGGCCACTGCCAAGACACACCGTGAAGGGGAAAAGGGAAGGAGTTGGACAATGGGCACGGTGTGCTCTGATTCAAGGGAGAAGTGCAGACTTTTGTGACTGGCGGGGGGCATGTACGTGCAGATGACTCCTGCAAACACACGGCCAGCCTGTGGCTGGAGAACCGAGGACTGGGGTGGGGCTGGGGTTGCGAGGCCGCCTTTGTGTACCTGGCGCTCGCTTGCTCTTAATGTTTGCATTTGATCCGCGTGAATGTGTTGCCTGTCCAGAAACAAATGAACTAGGGAAAGGGGCTGTGCGTCAGGCAGACGGTGCTGGGGGGCACGGAGGTACCTTCCTTGCGTGAGAAGGAAAAACCATTTTATCACTAGAAGGCAGTGCCTAGCGTGAGTGTCCAGTGTGCTGGGGGTGGTGCAAGCTTGGCAAGTTTGTAGACCCAAAATGCAGGCTGCATGGGGATGAGCCTCAAGGCTGACCCTGTGCCTGCCGGGCTCCAGCATGGCTCTGGCCTGGGCCCCACCACCCGCTTGTCCGCCTTCTGCAGCCTCCTGCCCGAAGGCCACCTGAACCTAACGGCGCCCTGCAACACTGCCTGCGGCTGCCAGCCGGAGCACTACAGCCCTGTGTGTGGCTCAGACGACCTCATGTACTTCTCGCTGTGCCATGCGGGGTGCCCTGCAGCCACTGAGATGAATGTGGATGGCCGGAAGGTGAGTGAGGCCGCTGCCTACTGCCCCGTCCTCCCCTGGACCCTGGGAAGGGGCCCCCGTGCCTTCCCCTTGTAATCGGCGCTATTGTTGGGCTTCCCAGGTGTACCGAGACTGTAGCTGTGTCCCTCAGAATCTTTCCTCTGGTTTTGGCCATGTCACTGCAGGGAAATGCACTTCAACTTGTCAGAGAAAGCCCCTCCTTCTGGTTTTCATATTCGTTGTAATTTTCTTTACATTCCTCAGCAGCATTCCTGCACTAACGGCAACTCTACGGTAAGCGGGGCCGGGTGTGCGCTTGTCCAACGCTTTCCTTGCAGCACCCCGAGCAGAGCTCTGCAGATCCTGAGACGGGAGCGCTCCGGGAAACACCCAGGCCCCTGCTAAGCGGGCCTGTCACTGGTGGCGGGAGAGACCTCACTGTCTCTGACCCTCTGATGAGGGGCTTTCTGCTTGGGGAGGCGACGAAGTGGCTGGGGGCTGGGCCAGGAGGCCGCTGGCCTGGGGGGTGACTTGGCAACCCCACTTCTGTGGTGCTGACGCTGCGGTTTTCTATTGCAGATGTGTCCGTGACCCTCAGAGATCCTTTGCTCTGGGAATCCAGTGGATTGTAGTTAGAATACTAGGTACTGTGCAGTGTGAGGAAGCCATGGTCAGTTGTGCAGTGTGCTCACTGCACAAGGGCATGGGCAAGTGTCTAACCACCAAGTGGATGTGCTTCCCAGCAGGAGGCTGTGCCTGCCTAGGAAGGGTTCCATTCCCTAACTGTCCACTAGAGGGGACCATCGTCATTTATTTGCCCAAAGGCTTTCCCTGGGAGACCATGGGAAACTCCCAGCCCCAATGCCGAATCTCCAAAGAAAGGAACATTTAAGCCCCTTTGCACCCACTGAGAACTCCAACGGCCAGTATTCCAGGCCTCTTGGCTGCCCGCCCCCTACCTTGCCCCCTGCCCACCAGGAGTGTGGGTGCTGAGTGGGCTTCTCCCCACAGGGGGCATCCCGGGGCCCATCGCCTTCGGCTGGGTGATCGACAAGGCCTGTCTGCTGTGGCAGGACCAGTGTGGCCAGCAGGGCTCCTGCTTGGTGTACCAGAACTCGGCCATGAGCCGCTACATCCTCATCATGGGGCTCCTGTACAAGGTGAGCAGGCCCGGGGAGGGACGGAGGGTCTACTCTGAGGGTGGCTGGGGGCTCCAGACACTCCCATCATCTTTCCGCAGCTTGGACCACAGCCCAGTACATCACAGATGTCCTCACAGCCAGTTTCTAGAAGGGGCCCTTCCCCCATTCCTCATGAGCTGGTTGTGGAGGGAGGCAGGCCGACCGCAGGGCCTCCCCCTGGAGTTCACTGTGCAGGTCCCCAGCAGCTCCCGCAAAGCCCAGGCGCAGGTGCTGCTCCCTCTCCCGCCTCCTGGGGCTGCCCCTCCGCAGTGTGGTCTTGCGTGTGCCTGGGGTGCCTGTTAACCAAAAGCTTTGCAGAAATAAGCAGCTCCTTTCATTAGAGCGGCTGGATTAGCTGGTCCGCTCTGGGCCTTGGTCTGGGGGGCCAGCGGGTAGGTTGTAGCCTCTCCATGCTCAGTGCACCTTGAATTCCCCTGGATCTCTTAGCCTGGCCCTCATTTTTCAAGCTAACAAACTTTCTGTTGTGACTTCTGGCATGTGCTACCTGGGAGGAAGCGCAGTATTTGTGTTTGGAATTTGCCCCCATTAGAGGATAAAGCACAAAACCTTCTAAATAGAATGCGGTCCCAGGGCCAGCTGTTCAGAGGATCTTCACGCTCTTCCTTGGGTGACAGACCCAGGAAAGTTGATCCTGCAGGAACCCCTGGCCTCAGGCTTTCCGGGAGGGAGGTTAGAGAAAGGGAAGGAGCCCAGCTGGTTCACCTCCCCTGGGATTAACAGAAAATAGGTGAGTCTGAGCAGGGCCTTGCGTGGCCCTGGAGAGCAGCAGAGTGGGTTAATTTAAAGAGAAATATACCTTGGTTTCCCCCTCATCTGAGGTTTCACTTTCCACGGTTTCAGTTACCCGAGGTCAACCACAGTCTGAATATATTAAATAGGAAATTCCAGAAGCAAACAGTTCATAACTTTTAAAGCATGTGCCATTCTGCACAGTCTGGTGGAATCTTGATCTGTCCTGCCCAGGACTCGCATTCTCCCTTTGTCCAACTTTGGAAGAAGGCAAGGTCAGCAATTATTCTGCAGGGAGCTTTGGGGATACTGGATCCTAAGGCCCAAGCCCCGTGTGATACGCCTTTCACTTTGGCATCAAATAACGGACGACTGTCTGTGAGGCGCGTCTCTGCTCAGGGAGTGGCGATGTTTGGGGAGGCCCAAAGGCATGTGTGCATCAGGAAATTGACCAAATGACTTCATGAGACATAACCTTTGTCCATCGCGTCCAGGCTGTCCACACCACCACCTGATAATCACTTAGCCGGTGTGGTTACCACATCCCCCATCACTGTATCGCAGTGCCGTGTTCCAGCCACCCTTATTTACCTAGCTGTGGCCCCAAAGCACCGGACCACTGACGCTGCCATTCGGCTCTGCCAGCAGGAAGCCAGAGGCGCTTCCTTCATGAGAATGTGTAGTTCCTTGGCTGGGCTGAGGACCACACTTGACTCACGCGTCCACAGGGGTCTCAGTGTCTGCGATGACGGGGCTGCTGTACGTTCCCAGGGTGTGTCTCTGTTGGATGCATCCCTTGTCCGGGAGCAGCAGGCTGAGAGCCCTCCACACGTAACCATCCCCCGGGCTCAGCACAGCCAGCGGGAGCCGTGTCCAGGGGGTCAGAGTTGGCCTCAGCAGCGCGTGCGTCCGTGTTAATTTTAGCGGGGGGAGCACAGTGTCTCCTTATGAACACCCTCACGTTCCACTTTGTCCCGCACCGAGTCAGAACAGCCGCACTCCCTGAACGCAGGCTCGGGGCCATCAGCCAGGCTGACGCTCCAGGAGGCACAGTGGGTGTTCATGGCCCACGCCCAGCCTGGAAACCGTAGTGGGCACATGTACTGTGCGTGGGCACTGCGGCAGCATCCGCGCTTGGAGCGTACCGCCTTTGGGGCCCACGCGGGATTCCTGCCACATCGTCCTCTCGCCCTGCAAAGTCGGTGCGGCCCCTCGTTGACAAACCAAGACCTTGAAGGTTAAGAACTGCCCATGATGGCGGCACCCGGGCTTGAATCCGGGCTGTGGTGGCGACCGGCAACCAGCGACTGGCTCTGTGTGAGGTTTCTGTGGCCGCCACGACAAACGACCGCAAATGAGGTGGCCTAGCATAGCAGAACCAGACTCACTCATAGGTCTGACGCCAGAAGTCAGAATCAAGGTGGGGGCAGGGCTGGCTCCTTCCGAGCTCTGGCTCTGTCTGCAGCTGCGTTGGCCTTTCTCTCTGTCCCTGCCTCGTCTTCCTCTCCTTTCTCTCGTGAGGACACCAGTCATTGGATTTAGGACCCACCTTAGATCCAGGATGACCTCATCTCAAATCCTTAATTACATCTGCAAAGGCCCTGTTTCCAAGAAAGGTCCCATTCACAGGTGTCTGGCACCATCCAACCCATGACAAGCCCCCCAGTCGTGTGCCCCTGTTTTCAAAGGGTGTGCTTCATTCCCTCTTTAACAGTGTTGGTGTCTACGCTACAAACCGGTTATACGGGAGAGAGACGCTGTCAGAGCAGGATGGGTTTCCGTGGCCTGGCGAGGGCGCTGCAGGCTAGGGCAGGGACAGGCCTGGGACAGGCCACCAGCGTCCAGAGGCTCTGGCCGGGCTTCCAGCAAGGTCCAGTGGGCTCCTCTCTCCCCAGGTGCTGGGCGTCCTCTTCTTTGCCACAGCCTGCTGTTTATACAAGCCCCTGTCGGAGTCTTCAGATGGCCTGGAAGCTTGTCTGCCCAGCCAGTCCTCGGCCCCTGGCAGTGCCACAGATAGCCAGCTCCAGAGCAGCATCTGACCACCGCCCACGCCCACCCGGCCACAGCAGGCGCTCAGCATTTCCTGATGACGGAACGGTGCCCTTGGGTGATGCAATCACATGGAAACTTCTATTTGACCTGCAACCTTCTAGTTAACCTGTGGTTTAAAGTCAGCTGTGAACTCCTGTCCCCAGAGCTGTACAGCCCTTCAGTGGGTGGGAGGAACTTGCACAAATACATATTTATGGACACATATTTTGCATCAGAAGATATTTATAGAATGTATTTTATACCGGATCGTGTGTGGTATGCGTGAGGGCAAGCTCTGAGGGGCTGAATCCCACTGGGAGGGTGCGGGCCTGGCCTGCAACCCAAGGAAGGCTTGTGTGTCCTCAGTGAAAGCTGTGCATATCTAAATATATTTTGTATTTAAGCCTGTGTCCCCATACTGTGTGCTTTATTTCTATGAGTTTGCTGAGTTTGGTGGTCTCGCCATCCTTGGTGTGGTCTTTGGGACTGTGCTCCAACGGAGACTGGCTCCCGCCTCCAGTTCAGCCTCAGGCTTCAAGCCTGGGTCCCCGCCCCGGACACTTCCATGAATGACCTGAGCTCTGTCTTTGCACATTGGGACTGAGGACGGAAGTGGCCGGCAGCTGCTGTTAACACTGAAATGTGTGTGTGTGTGTGTATGTGTATGCACGGGTGCACGGGAGCCAGCACAGACCCTCTCGTTTGCAAGGCCCTCGGACAGCCATGCCTCATCCCAGGAGGGTGGTGGGTCACGGGTGGCAGCTGCATGGTTCCAAGGCCTGTGCAGCGGCTCTGGGGGCTGCTGGTGGCACAGACTCCAGTGGGAGAGCCCCATGGGAATGAGGGGAGACACAGGCCCTCATCCTGGTCAGTGTCCCCGGGTGATGCTCTGAGGTCAGGAGAAGGCTGGGAGGTTTGGGCACCAAGGAAAAGGCAGTTTGAGCTGCCCCATGGGATGGAGGGGCCCTGGGATGGTGGTGGTGAAAACAGCGAGCACGAGGCCAGGGTACTGGGAAGGCCATTGACCCCTCGCATCCTGTAAGATTGGGGGAGTCTGTTACCCTTCTCTGAACGTCCAGATCTGACCATGCGGTGACCAGGCTGGGCAGGACTGACGTCAGAAGTGTCGGATGTGAGGGTGGGTTTCTGCTCTGGTGCGAAGCTCCTCTCTACCTCCTGCTGATCCAGGCTCTGGCCCTTCGGCAAGGGCTGGGCCTCCAGTGACCCAGGTCAGGTCTCCAGAGGTGCTGGGAACAACAGGAGAGATGACGGACAGGTGACCGGGGCTGGGCACTCAGGGTGTGCACAGGACAAAGAGGCAGCCCCAGGAGGCCTGTGCGGGGCATTCCGGGGGCACCCAGCCACACACCCCTCCCCAGTGGCTGCATCTTGTGTGACCACAGTGAGGGTGGCACCGTGAGCCACGTGAGCAGGTGTGTCTAGTGCTTTGCCGTTTACTACGCGTGCAGGTGATCAGGCTGCAGAGCTGCTCCCTGGAACCTGGAACCCCTCATGCCATGCCCACCACCCTCCCAGGCATCCCTGCCCCTGTGCCCACTGAGCCAGTCCCCGTCTGCAACGTGGCTGCCTCGAGAATGCTGCCTGCACGGAGTCGTCCAGTGTGGGACCTTTGGGATTGGAGTGTTCACTCAGCACTGTGCCAAGACCCACCCCAGAGGCTGCAGTGTGGATGGAGATTCCCATGCGTCTGCTCTTGGATTCCTTCTGTAGTGAGGGCCCCACCCCACTCCAGGGCCTCCCCTTTCCTCGGTCACCTGGTTGACCTCACCTCCCAGAAAGGAATTGGAGCCCCAGAGGCATGAGGGTGCTGGCCCACCGACTCTTGTCCTCACAGTCTTCAGATCAGGCAGGGGCAACCCTGGCCACGTGCTGAGTGGCGGCGTGGGCTCCTGGAACCCCAAGGGGGACTCAGCCCAAGTGACAGGTAGGGTCAAGGGGCAGGCCCAGGAGCCACAGAGGCACCATCCATGCACCTTGCACATCTTCGTGCAGTGTTTGCCGACAGGAGGGGTTTGCCAAGCACCTCTGCCAGGCTCCATTCCAGGTGCTGGAGAGACAGTGGTACCAGGCCAACACGAGGTCCTCTTCTCCAGAACTGATGGAAAGGGGTGGATACAGGGTTCCCTACAGGCAGGCCGGGGGCACCATTAGGGCAGTCAGGGAAGGCTTCTCAGAGGAGGTGATGTGCTGAGACCTCAGGAGGGGATGAATATTTTAGGTAAAAAACAAACAAACAAAAACAACAAGTGCCAGGGTCCTGAGGCAGGAAGAAGCCAAAAGGCCCAGGGAGCAAATGGAAACAGTCCCGGCCCTGGTAATGGGCAGGGCATCGGCTGTGTTTTAGAAAAAGCCTTTATCCACTTTATGCCTAAGCGGGTCATGCCCTCGGGTCCCTGCTGTCATTCACTTTCCTCCTCCATGCATCAAGAGCTGACTCCTTCTGTATCATATGGCAGTTGTGATGGACGCTCCCAAACTTAGCCACACCCCCTGCAAGAGCTGTCGGGAAAGTGCCCTTTAGGCAGAGTTGGGGAACTAGAGTCACGCACACGCACGTGTGTGGGGCCAGATCATCCTCTGATTGTGCCACTGCACTCTAGCCTGGGTGGCAGCGTAAGACTTTCGCGAAATAATCAGAAGAATTGAATCCAGAATGTAAGAAGAATTCCTACAACCCAGCAATTAAAGGATGATCCAATTTAAAAATGGGCAAAGGATTTGAATTTTATTTCATCACAAAAGACAACGAGCCCAGGAGAAGATGCTCAAGATTTTCCCAGACACCCAGGAAAGTGCAAACCAAAGCCACAGTGCTGACTGCATCAACAACAAAAAGCAAACAAACAAATGAAACCAGAAAACGACAAGTCGTGGAGAACCTGGAATCCTCACACACTGTGGGTGGGAATGGAAAATGGAAAAATGGCACAGCTACTTTGGAAAACAGTTTGGCGGTTCATCAAAAAGTTAACCATGGAATTAGCAGAAGACCCAGCAATTCCATTCCTAGGTATCTACCCAAGAGAAATGAAAGCATGTGTCCACATAAAGACAAGCATACAAGGGTTCACGGCAACATTGCTCCTAATAGTCCAAAAGTGAACCAGCCTGAATGTCACCTGGCTGATGAGTAGGTAAATCAACATGGGCTGACCACACGGTGGGTCTCGCTTGGCCGTCAATCAGACGTGTTTTGTGATTCTTTTATAAGAAATGCCTGGAATGGACCCATCTGTAGAGACAGAAAATGGACTAGTGTTTCCAGGGGCTGGGGGAAGGCGAGGTGGGAGCGACTGTCATGGGTGCAGGGCATCTCGGTGCAGTGATGAAATGTTCCAGAGTTAGATAATGTTGATGGTTGCACAACTCTGTGAACAAGCTTAAAACACCAAATTGTACACTTTAAAAGGTGAATATCTGGGGATGTGACTTATATCTCCGTAAAGCTATTATTAAATACATCCATCCATGCATTCGTCGCTGACTGCCTGCCCTGTGCTTTCACTCCTGTAGACCCTGGAGATATGTTGGTGTATCTGTGTCTATTCCATAACCTTCTCGTGTCTGTTCCATAACCGCAGCTCTGCCAGGAGAGCATGTGTGAGCCCCATGTTCAGAGGCACCCCAACTCCCTCCCTGCGCACTTCCTTAGGATGACGGGAGGCAAGAAGGGGGCGCAGAGACCTACACTCCAACCCCACTGAGGCAGATGATATTTTCCAACAACAGCCACAATACGTCCCATTCCCTCTGCTGGCGGTGGGGTCTTTGCACCCTCTCTTTGACCCTGGCAGGCGATTGGGACTGCCTCGTGGCAGAGGTGACACAGCTTCTACTGTCAGTGCCTTCTGGGCACGCTCACCTTGGGAACCCAGTGCCACGCTGTGAGGAAGCCCAGACCACGGGAGCCCTGGCTCTGTGCACCAGCTCTCAGGCCGAGTTCGCCGTGATGGGGGTGCCGTCTTGGGTGCTCCAGTCCCCAGCTGGGCTCTCTGTGCCCACTCCCCCTGTAGGGGAGGGAATCAGCCCTTCCCACTAGCCACACCGGCAGATTTGGAAAGGAAAGAAGTAATGATGCTGTGTTAAGCCTGAGGGCCTCTGCTGTCAGTAAAGGCTTGAAGGAAAGTGAGGCAAGGGTTGACGGAAGCTGGAGGAAGGGAAAGCCTCAGAGGACAGGAACAGTAGGTTATGCAGCGCTGAGGCCTGCGGGGACACAGAGGCAGAGAACGTGCAGATGCCCCGGGCGAGTAGCGACTCCAGGCGGGAGCACCAGCAGGCTTTACTGCAGCTGTGCGTAAGGAGGAGAAGAGAGGGTTTCGTTTTTTACCTTTAGTTTTCAAGCAAAATTTAGATAAAATTAAAGAAGCCAGGACTTAACAGAATTTAAAAGAAAGCTGTTGACAGTGCCCAGTGCTGGTGAAGACTCGGGTAGCTGGAACACTCACCCGTCGCTGGTGGGTGTGGAGAACAATACGGTTGCTCAGGAACCCAGCTCTACAGTTTACTATAAAGTTAGACCCGCACCTTCTTATAACACAGAAATTCCACTCCTAGAGAAAGGCAAAACTATGTTCACACAACATCTTGTACACAAATGTTTTTTATAGTGCAATTCTTTTTTTTTTTTTTTTTTTTTTGAGACTGGGTCTTGCTCTGTCGCCCAGGCTGGAATGCAGTGGTGCAATCTCAGCTCGCTGCAGCCTCTTACTCCTGGGTTCAAGCAAATTTTCACAATCATCAACAAAATTGGAAACCACCCAAATGTCCTCTGGGGCATGAAAGGATCATCACACAGCCATGCACTGGACTCAGCCAGGAGGGAGGCACTGTTAATATACGACAGGGACGAACCTGGGAGGCACCACGCTAAGCAAAAGAACCAGACCCAAGAGGCTAGTAGTGTATGGTTTCATTTACACGACAGCTTCCAAAAGGCAAAGCTGCAGGGATGGAGAGGAGACCAGCTGCTGCCAGGAGCTGGGGTGGAGAGGAAAGTGTGGCTTTTAAAAGTAGCCTGGGGCTGGACAGGGTGGCTCACACCCATAATGCCAGCACTTTGGGAGGCCGAGGCAGGCAGATCCCTTGAGATCAGGAGTTCGAGACCAGCCTGGCCAACATGATGAAATCCCATCTCTACTGAAAATGCAAAAATTAGCAGGGCTTGGTGGCGCCTGCCTATAATCCCAGCTACTCCAGGGGCTGAGGCAGGAGAATCACTTGAACCTGGGAAGCAGAGGCTGCAGCGAGCCGAGATCACACCACTGCACTCCAGCCTGGGCAACAGAGCAAGACTCCATCTCAGGCAAACAAGAAAGGAGCATGGCGGAGGTGCTCTGGGTCACGAAGCGATCTGTGTCCTGACGGTGGGCATGGTTCCACAAATCCAT